TGACTGGTTGGCCTTTACAGAGACCTCACTGCCCAGAGGCCACTCCAAATTGTGCCAGAGCCAAGTGTAAAATGGTCATAATACCAGGCTCTTAAAGGACTTAAGCCAAAAAAGGTAGCCCAACTGTCCTGAAACAACCGGATTCCAATCCACTGTATAAGAAAAATTTCCAGGTGGATGCAGATTCAAGCAGAATTCCAATCTCTGTCGCTGAACAGAAATAGACAGAGAACAAAGAGTAGAAAACAATGCACAGGTGCCACTATGTAAGTAGGCAGTAGAGAAACCAATAGGTTTAACCACTGAATGACTGTGTCCTTAATATACACACCCATATTGCAGATCAGCCTAGGGAGCTTACTTCCAAAATTCCTGGCATGGAACCTGTGAAAGGACTCAGACTGCCTTGGTATAAAATGCCCCATCATTCCCAACCCATAAATTAGCCTAGTCCTAGCCTGGAAATCTCTACCTTGCTGCCACCCGAAGACCATAATACCCAGGCATATGGTTGTTGATGTCTCATTATAATCACTGTGAAGCACCAAGTTAAGCTTACCCAGCAGAGTTACTACACAGCTTCAGAAATTACAAGGAAAAAAATATTATTTTTGTTTTGTTTTTTTGAGACAAGGTTTCACTATGTAATTCAGATTGGCCTTGAACCCCCTCTGTAGCCTAGGCTGGCCTTGAACTCACAGCAATTCTCCTGCCTCGGCTTCCCCAGTGCTGGGATTACAGGCATGCACCACTATGCCTGGCTAGAGGAAATTTTGTGCACAAATTAAACCAGGACTGAATAAGCTGACATTATCCTTGGGTTTCTGAAGGAAAGGAGTGCTAAGTTGGTCCGAAGGTTGTGGATTACTGTTAAACTGAAGGAAAGGAATGCTATGGAGAAGGAAAGGGATGAAAAAAGATAAACACACACACACACACACACACACACACACACACATTTCCTAAATGACATCAGCACTGTTTTAATTATGTTTCTGTTGCCTAAATTGTGAGTTCCAATAGGGAAGACATTCCATCTTCTTTGTACAGGCATATTGTAACTGAATCTCAGAAGTTACCATATGCCTTGGTGTATCAATGGCAACTACACAAGAACTTTCAGAAAGACTCACTGACACACCTTGCAAGGAACTTCTTCCCAAACCCTAGGCTACAACAAACCATTCTTGAGTCTCTGCACTAGATGTCTACTGGGCAATGACCTTAGGGAGGAACATAGGATAGTCTTCTCCTGGGATGCTATGGTTCCAAGAAGCTGCAGTTTGAGTCCAATAATACAACCAGTTGGCTCATGAGCACCAATGCCCCATGAAGCATTTCTTTCTACCTGGTTCATCTCAGGCCTTACTGCAAAAGGAGGAGGCTCCCATGTTTGCTTAGAGTCCAGGACAAATTAAAAGAGAGGGTCATTTCTACTGCCATCAGGTCATATGGAAAAAAGTGACCATGTTTCGTCATGAAAGTGAGCCAGATAGTCATGGACGGTATATCTATATCTGAATCTCAGTCTGTTAAACAAAGACTATCTCTTTTTTGTATCAACAAATTATTTTTTCCCAGAAAAAAAAAATCAAGAGGGAAAAACACTGATAAAAATGATAACCTAAAACTAAATCTTCAAGATTTGGACCCAAGTGAGTATCATCTCTCTGCTTCCTCTGACACTCAGGATGAAATTCCACCCCAAGCTAGAAGGCAATAAGACTCCAAGACTCACCCTAAAATGAGCAGGCAAGAAAGAGCCTTTTCCTAAGCCTCAAAGCCTGTCCTGTGTGGCCTGTTTGTGTCTACATGTGTTCAAATGGGGTTAGGGGACAGTGTACTGAGAGAAAAGTTTCTGAGAGCCAAGAATACAGCAGAGACCTAGCAAGTGCTTTGTCTTCTATCAGCACAAACCACGGCAAATGTTTACCTGACAAGTCACCATAAAAGCCAAAGAAACTGGCTCACAAACAAGTGCATTCCTGGAGCCCTGGCTATGTATGCTTGCTGTTTGCTGGGTCAGGTACTCACCTTTAGATCAGACTCTCACCTTTTGAATAAATGAAGGTTGTTTCCTCAAAGCACAACAGGAAAAGAAGGGGCCTCTGGGCTTAAGCAATTCAGAACTAATTCCCTGCTCACTCTTGGGAACTGAACTGACCATACCATGTCCCAGCTAAGCCCCCAGCCAGCCCTGCTTCCTTCAACCAGTCCAGTCTGATGTGTTGCCCACCTTCCCCCTCCCCTCCTCTCTTCAGATTGCCTCTGCCACAGCCAGTCAAGTCCTGTTGAGTTGCTGCCAAATCTGAGCAGAGATAAACATTCCGGGAAAAGAATCACAAGGCTGCTGCTCCTCCCATTCAGGCAAATACCCAGGTGGCCAGAAAAGAAGGCCTAGCTGCCAGAGTCAGTAGAGTAGAGCTTGCATGACCCTCTGAGGCCCTGGGGCAGGGGTAGATAAGTAGGCCTACCCCACTTGGGTGAACTTCCAGGGGAACAAGGCCCACTTCCTTCTTCAGCACTTACTCCTGGGGACCTCACACTAAGGGCTCCAAACATTACCACCTGCCACAAGTCACCAAAGGTGGTATACACAGACATGGGATTCTAACCTAAGTCTTTTGGAAGTTTCCTCCAATGCTCTGACAACCCATGGACAAATCAAACAGTGACCCATCCCTAACCCAGTTTGGTGTTTTACAGCCTTAAACCCCACCAGCTATCAGCTGGGAGGGATCAAAGCAAAGCATCTGGCCCAGACCTCTGGACACCAAAAGTAGAGCAAAGCTGGGGAAAGGAACTACAAGTAGTGAAAAGGCCACAATCTAAACCCCAAGGATGCTTTCTCCCATCAACCTCAAAACCACCACACAAGGGCTTTGGCTGACACCTGTCCAGTTGAACAGATGGCTTCAACTCCCCCAACCCACACACTCCCAGGCAGACTTTCAGCTTTCTCAAGACCCCTTCTGGCTAGGAACCTCCACTCTACAAGTTGCACCCAACCACTCAAACCTAAAGGCTCAACTAAAATGAACAAAAGACCTCTCTCTACTTTTCTCGGGTTTCCATCTCAGCAGCGGCCTTATACGTCACAGTTTCATGTAAGTCACATGAAAGCAGAAAAGCCAGAAAAAGTCTCAGGACTATTTACATGCCCTCTCAAATGTTATCTCTCAATGAGTCCTTTCCAGCAGACAATTTCACAATCAATTTAGCAACACCATGAAATGGTGACAAGTTTGTCACTAGCAACACCACATTATAAAACATAGCAGAACTATGGTTACCACTGTCTCTCATACTTTATTGAGAAGACTGTATACTCCAAACACCGATCTAATGAACTCTGGGGCACTTTAATTTGTGAATTAATTTCTCTTTCTTTCTGCACATACCTAAGCGAGTCAAAAACAAAAGCAAAAAACTTGGCCTCTTTGTGGTCTAGGAACTCTCTCTCTTCCTCCTCTCTACTGCTCACAGCCATTTCCACGAGAGTGAGAAAATGGAAATTTAAGGCCTTCAACAAATTCTATTACTATATTACTAATATTAGCTGCCATGTAACTGAGTGTCTATTACCCTAGGTGCCATGTATTTAATGTTCACAATCTCAATTAATCCTAAAAATAACTCTGTAAGATAAGCATCCACTTTACACATAAGAAAGAAACTTTAAAAACTATAACATGCCTGAAGAAGTCAGACGCCTAGCAGTAGGGCAAAGATTCTACTTTATATAGCAGACTATTTCCCATATTAACCACCAAGTCCAAAAGATTTCATTTTTTTTTTTGCTTTAATAAAGTCCCCCTCATTACTACACTTCATGTTTGATGAATTCTGGGAGGTTTCTCTCAAATTTGATATGAAAATATTGAAGTAATTATTGGAGAAGTTGAGCAAGAGCAAGTAGGAAGGCTTGCTCTGCCAGGGCTCTCCGGGAACGTGACAGAGCAATTGGCAGCAAGCCTGCCTGCCTGCCTGCCTGCCTGCCAGGGCCCCTCACTCAAAACAACGTTCTCTAAAACCTGGCATTAGAAATGAGCAACCACCTGTCTGGTTACCCTGGAAGCAACCTGTGGCTACCTGCAGCCTGCGGGCTTCAGGTCAGGGAGAGGACCAGGTTGGGCTCAGCCTCCTCCTGACCTAGGAATGTAAACGCACCCGAGCTTCCTTCCTATGCTGAAACAGGCTGAAGGCCAGGGTTCAGATCATCTAAGCAAGTAGTGCAAGGATGAGGCAAAGCCAGGCTGAATGGTTACATTTCAGCCCTCCAGCCCCTAGAGTATCCAAGTCCAGTCCAAGAGGGCCCTGGCTCACTTAGGGGAGACTACAGAAGGAGGAAGCTGGGGGGTGGGGGCCAGGGATCTAGCTACACAGAAGAGGAAATGAACACAACACTGACAACTTACTGAGAACCTACCCTCATTGATTAAACCTTTTTTACATTGTTTTGTTTACTCTTCGAAAACAACCCTCTAATAAATACCATTTATTATCTTCACTTACCAGAAAAGAAATGGAAGTTTAGCGAGAAGGCCTTTGCCCAGAGGCTCAAGAGAAAAGTTTACCCCACTCAAGAGAGTGGCACTATGAGAAGACAGATGTGAACAGGTCAACTCCCTTCCCCACTGGGGCCTCTGACAGTCCCCCAAAGGGCAGCGGGTGACTGAGGTGCCCGAAGTTTCCTACCAGCGTTAACAGGCAAGACTGGTCCAAGCCCTAAGCAGACCCAAACTCCACAACTTCCTGGGCCAGAGCAGGGAGGTCTCCAAGGCCCTCTCTGGTTCCTGGGGCCAGAGGGGTCCAGCTGGCTTCCCTCTACAGTCGGAGACCCAACCTCCAAGAGGGCACTGCCCAGTCTCTCCGGCCCACCCGGCGCGGAGCTCCTCTTTCGGATTAAACTCTGATCCCGCGGAAGGGATGTCCCGGCAACCCTCGCTCAGGAAGCACGGAGGAGTCCCAGTCCTCACAGCGCCAAGCAGAGTCCTTACCTAGAAGCGGGGACTCCTCAGGACAAGCGGGCAACGACAGTGCTCTGGTGGGGGACACTGGGGCCGACGTCAAGTTGGTCGCGGGGCCGGTGTCAGAATCTGCACCCGGACGGGAGTGCTGAGCGGAGGTGGCCGAAAGAGGCGGCGGCCGGGCCCCTCCGGGCCGGGGCTCCCC